CTATACTTTAGGATAAGTTTCCTAAGCTACCTTTTTAAATAAATTTGGAAAAAAAAAACAATATTTATTTAAGAAAAATCCATCATTGGTTTATTATTAATATAATCTCTACCACCATTCACGTTACCAAGGGAAATAATTCTTAAATATATATGATGACATATGTCATTATGAAAATATGAATGCGTTGATAATTTCATCCCTTAGGTTTCTTTGGCTTAAGCACACAAAAGAAAATAATTAAATAATGTCATATAATATATATTACCAATATACATATGGAAGCATTGATTTCTAGATCTATGGATTATATTAAACAATTATGTGAAGTCTATTCCATTATTTTAAGAGTCAAGAGGCAATTTGGTATATTATTGCATAACCTATGATATTGATGAAGGAATTTTTCTTTTATATAATTGAGATCATTTTTCAAGGATAACATGTAGAGTATTTAATTTATACATGTTCACAAGTAATTTATTACAAAATTTTGTGCTATTTTCCAAAGAAAAGGTATGTATGATATAATAGAGAGGGTTAATTCTAACTTTAAATGGAAAAGTTGTCAACTAAATTTTATATGTTGGTTGATTTATCTCTTAATTATTTTTGTACTTGATTATGAATTGCTTCTTTTTTTAAAAAACAAAACAACTAGAAAATAATAATGATGATCGTATATGTTATTCATTTTCTAGGTGCGAATCTGGTTAAAAAGGAAAAAAAAAAGGAGAATTTCCTAAAAAAAAAAAGAAAGAAAAAAGAAAAAGAAGAATTAAAAGTATTTGTATAGAAAAATAACTCCATCAGTTCTTCATAATCTCTTGAGTTGTTTCAGGCACTCGATTTCTCTCGACTTTGTGTTCCTTCCCCATTTTTACCAAAAGAAAGAATTCCAATCTCTTAAACCTTATATTCTCTTGTACTGCATTATTTTTTTCCACGTCCTACTTCAGTTTTATTAGATGTATGAGTACCCCTTTGATTGTCAATTAATTTTGAGATGAACCCTCATGAGTATTAATAAAGAGTATTAATGGTAAATTTTTTCGAGAACCTAGCTAGGAGAATAAATTTTTTTATTAATATTGTACAAATTAGAAACATTATAATTGTTATGATTTTTTTTTTTCTGGGTTGTGCAGATTAGGATTCCTACACCTTACGTGGGACAAATGAAAAAAAAAAAAGAGGGTTAAATTTTCAAACTTTGATTTTTAAATCAAGGTGTGGACTTTACAATGGATAAGCTGTTGGGAAATTAAAATCTCTCTCTAAAAATATTTTACTTAGAGTTCCAACTTGCAAAAAAATAAAATTAGTTAAAGGATAAATATAACGTAGAGTTTACATAAAGTTCATAATTTTTAATGTTTCCAAAGTTGGAAAATGTTTTAGCTTTGACAAAGAGAAGGCCATTGTCATTCACTTTCACTTTCGTGGGAGGATTGCTTCATTTTTGGAATTCACCCAAAATTATATTATATTATATGTAACCTCTTTGATCTATATTTTAACTTTTAAATTAACAAAACGAGTATTTAAGATTCCTTTAATTATTTTATATTCTTTTTTATTTCTTGAAATCGGTGTCATATGGTTGATCTCTGTAATCGAGATTTGTTGCCTAGGTTGAAGAATACTATGACGATCCAGGTGCAGGGTTCGAACTTGAAATCTCAAGGGGAGTAGTTTGTTAATTTTAATAATTTAATAATCTCAATCAATAGGATTAACAACTAGCTCCCAAAGTCTAGGATATGAAATTTAAATGAAATCAAATATTACAAAGAAATAGCATCTAATTGTAAAAATAGAAAAATTAGGTGAAATACACATCCATTAATCAATTGGTTAGTTTTACTCAGTCCACTAGTATACGTATCAAGCTCAATCAATAACTTTTATGGTTAATTATAGTAAATCAAAGTTTAAATTAATTAATCATATTCACAAGAGTAAATCAATGATTTGGTTAGCAAATCAAATAAAAACATATATAATTTGATTATGACTATTAAAGTCAATGAGCTACTCAAATTTCTCTTATATTCTACAAATTCTTCCACTTAGCCAAAAAAATCAACAAAAACAATATGGTTGAATAATATACTTATCCCATTGAAATTGAAAAATGATGTTGCCTCTGTTCAACTACCTAGAGACAAATTTTTCAAGACCTCCCAAAACTTCAAAATTTGGCCAACTTTTTGGATTTTCTATTCTAGATCATTAATAAAAAGGGAATAATCCAATTAATTTTCCATCGATAATAATTTCGTTTTACGTTTTCTATTTCAATATCAAAGTTTTTCTTTTCTTCGCCAAAATAGGTTAGACGAGGAGACGAAATGATATTAAAGTAACCTATTAACCCTAGTTTTAACTAGCTAGAATGACTCATCAAAGTCCTCGTCTTTAAAGCATATAGAATTAAGAAACAAATAGAAAAAGAAAATTAAAAACAAATTAATTAGTATATAGTCTTTGGGAATGAGAGAGAGAAGAATATGGGATCTTTGCTTACACATCTTAACTTAGAGTTGACCTCCATTAATGAAGAACAACACGCATTCCAATATTTTAATAACCAAATTATATGTAATATTATGTATATATAATATATTTTCGTGTTTCACAGAGGAAAAAAAAAAGAGGAAACTCAATACTCAACTTGATAATAAAATTAAAGTTGTGTACAATATCCTGTTTCTATCTCTGAATTTTGTGCCATATATGCAGATGCAGATGCAGGTATCTAGTTTTAAAAGGTATATATTATATCCTCAGTTTCTCATCAAACAAACTTTAATTTACAGATTTCTCTTTAATTTCTCATCTAAATATGATATGATATTGAAGAAAATAAGTCAGAAGCGAGTGGGTTTAATTTGTGTGTGGAAAAAGGAGAAATCATCGCCGCAGCCATTTCTTGCGTTGGGATATCACCAATTCTTATCCTTTTTTATATTCCAATTTCTTGCGTGGAGTTTATCTGAGCATAGAAATTTTGTATCGGTATTGTGACTTGTCGAATGCATTCTGGTGTCGAAGTTAGAACTTTAAGATGAGAATTAACGGGTATGGAGCAATTAGAGTAAAGAGGCAGGAATTTCAGTAAGGGTTCTACTTGAGAGTGTGTCGAACTCTTTGATATGTGTGAGAATTTTTGACTTACTTTCATTAGGGTTACATGAAGTCATTTGTATGGAGAGATTAGGGAGAGGGGACACAGAGAGTGGAGGGGTCGTGGGGACTACTGACATTCTTTGGATGATTATGACTTGGAGCGTATCACGACTCGAGTGTAAGGTGTCAGTGTCTCCCTCGCATGTTGTCTCTGGTACGAACCACCAAGTATGCTCGTCCTAGTGTACTCGGTCTCCTTTGTCATTTATTGGGTGGGTGTCGTCCACATGACTCAATTGGAGATTTGATGCTTGTCGCCCTAGCTCAATAACCAATCTAACTTTAAAATTTTAGAAATTTATTAAAAACTTAATTGATAGAACGGTGTATATAAAAAAAAAAAGTGATAGAATGGCCAAAAATTATAATTAAAAATAACACACACCTCGAGATGACTTGCATAAATTTTAACAATTTTTACAATAATTTACAAGAGAAAAATAAAGCATAGGGGTTATCCAATTGATGATATGAATTAAATTATTTTGTTACTTTTTATAATATATTAATTTAATCATTGATACCTTGATCAACCCTATCATAGAGAAGTGAATCCTCATATATTATAACAAAACTATTGTTTTGATTATTAAATGGTTTCTCTCTCTCTCTCCAATTTGGATTCTTTGAGAGATACCCCTTATTTGTGGATTTGATGGATTTGCTCACTCAATCACATATATAAATTTCTTCGAATCACACTCAATATTTTCAATCTCCATATCAATAAAAATGTTAAAAATGATTAGTATTGATATTACCCTTTTTCTCGTAGGTTAAAAATGATTAGTATTGATATTATGTCCCATTAGTAATATTTTGTTGATAATTTTTTTAATTTTATATTTCGTCTTTTTTTTTTTGCGATGTTATGGAAAATATCGATTAACTCCTAATATCGATATTGAATCAATGAACATATGAAAATGTCGACATACCAACGAAAATCCTTTTTGGTTGATTTGTTTGTTGATAAATAAGAATTAATCATATCTTTTCAATGTCTCTTCTTTTCAATAATATTTGGATCTTGTTTCAAAATAATAATAATAGTAATAATTCGATCTTTATATTAATTAACTTCTACGCTAAAGAATTATTTAAATAATTTTTAAGTTCGAGCATAAAAACTATGTTTTAATCTAAATAAAATTTTTAAAAGAATTCTCATCATTTAAGAACTTTATTTTCAGAAATATCCTGTTCKTTTTTAAGTGTTGGATCTCTTATTTCTATATTTGTTGGGCTAAAAAAATATTCTTTTAATTATTTAGTCCACTCTCTCATTTCAAATGATGATTTTATTTGATTTGATTTGGATAGCCTAAACCAAAGTAATTATGACTTTGGTCATTGTCATATATAATTACTTAAAATTTTCCACTTTGTAATATGCAAAATCTCATCGCCTTGTTTGTCTTATTTATCATTTATTTCTTAGTTATTGACTTATATATATATATATATATTTATTTATTTATTTATTTATTTATTTTCCTTTTGAGTCATTATTTCACAAAACATTGAAGAGAGATAAGTCGACCTCCAAAATTTCTATCTTTGAATTCAATGATGCATAAATTGTTGTTAATTACAAACGTTTTATAACATTTTCAAGAGCTAAAACTCTGCCATTTTAATTTTATTAATTATAGTATTAAATTTTCTTCGATATTTCGACATTCCATTAATATTTATATGTCTATAAATTTGATACGGACATAAGAAGATATATGGCCAAAAAAAAAATCTCTAACATACACATAATATTAAAATTAATAAATTTTAACTTATTTAAAAATGGTGAGATGATTATTTGTTAACTTAAATATTTGTTATTTAATTTTTATAACAAATTTAGAAATATCCATTGACATCGATATTTTGTCGATATTTCTATCTACCATCTTCATGAAATTGAGATCTCAATATTTTTATCAACATCGACAATTAAAACCTTGCTTTTAACCAACACCAAACAGAAGACAGGAAGAAATTCACATCCAAATTCAACTTTTCAAGACATAATTGTTAACTTGAGTTGCTATTACAATTAGTAAAAGAATTATCTACTATAGAATTAGGATTTTGAAAACAATAATTATAATAAAAGTATGAATGCCAAGTCAATAATTTATTTGAAAGTTTTTTTTTTTTTTTTTTAATTTTTGGCATGGCCTGTAATATTAATTTTTTATATATGCAAATCAAACCCTTTGACCCATGTAATATAAAATTTTGGTATTAGATGTAATTAAACCCTAAACCAATAAACTATAATAAAAGTGGGTTGAGTTAATGTGAGGATCCAATTTATTGACTTTGTTGTGAAAATCATCTCTTAATTTGTCTTTTTAATTAATAGGTTTTGGCATAAAGTGGCAATCTATTTTTTGTTAGGGTGTGAAATATCTTTTTATATCCTTTGCACAAAATAAAAAAAATAAAAAAATAACTTTTTATTTAGGTAACAACCCATGTGCATATGCGTTTAAAATTGCCCTTTATATTTGTCTTCAATTACATGGAGAACCTTGGTGTCATGACATTTTAAGTTGCGGTGAATCCTCTTCCCATTTTCTTTGAGAAATCCATTAAATATCCTCAGATTGATCACAATGTTGCTTAGTCTGGACGACGAACGCAACATTGATTCTGAAAAAAAAAATTTTGAGTCGTCCTTGTTATTATTAAATGTTACCAATTTACTAGTGTAGCGTATTTTTTTCTAGGCGTACTTATATAACATGTCTTTTTTAAGTGCAACAAAAAGTAATGAACTTACGTTCAAAACATAAAATATATGTGAAGATTAAATTGATTAATAATAAATTTTAGACTTGTTCTATTTTAGCTTCTAGACTTGATTTTTTTTTTTTTGAAAATATTCATTTTGATAATTTTAATCTTTAAATTTCTAGAAAAGTAATCATTTTAATTCATACTATGTTCTTTTATCTAATATGTTTCTACCAACCCATGTAGCACCTAATACAATACCACGTCAGCATGCGAACTCATCCTCGATACTTTTATCTATTTGTAAAAGAAAAATGAAGGATCAAAATTAATATTTTTTAAAAATTTTATATAGACTAAAATTAAGAAAATAAAAAACAAAAAATTAAAGGACCAAGAATGAAACAGTAGTTTAAAATTTAAACCGACTAACTAAACTAACTTGAGCATAACTTARCGATAATTAACATCTACTATTTTTCTTGAGGTTGGAAGTTAAAACTCTATTTTCCTATGTATACATATATAAGCCCTAAGCAGCTTTTGGTCACAAATTATATTCTCGAGTCACTTGCAAATAAAAAAAAAAATTGTTAATTACAAATACAGAAGAAAAAAAAGAGACAGAGGTGCAACCCAAATAAAAAATAAATAAATAAAGTCATTTATACCCTTGGAAACTGGAAGAAAAAAAAGGAAGGGAAAAAAAACTCACTGGTATACTTAATATTTGGTGTATCAGTAACATTAAGATACTTTAGATTTGGATCATATAACTGATGTATTTAATGTCAATTATACTCTTATCTATAAATCCAATTTAGCATTAAACTTACATTCTAAGGTAAAACACAAACACAATATTCTCAACATAATGTGGAACTCAATTGTTATGGTGTCAGAATTGGTAGATGAAGTAACTCAAACTAAATCAGAAAATATGGACTTCCAAGTTATGGGAGCAGAGTTGCATAAGAGTCTTCAATTCCAATATTTCATTCATAGACCATTGTTAAATACCATTCTTCAATCACATCTCAGATAAACCACACACTACTTATAAGTACTTCATACTGATATTACATTTACTGAAAGTTACAATTATATCTAGCGTTGCCTTTTCTGTTAAAAATAAACATAGCAGTGAGCAGCATATCTATGGAGTTATAAAGCAAAGGTTCTACGCGTAATCGACGATGTTCTTAAGGAAAAACAGTACCCATTTCTGCAGGCAAAGAATTCTTGTAAGCCTCCGAGATACCGATGGCAGTCTTCGAGAGGTTGCTTTTCATATCTGAAATTTTGGACCTAACAGATTCTTGATATTTTGAGACGGAGTCAACCCATGCAAGGAGTTCACGAGCACATATCTGGATTTCTTCTTCGCTTTGCTTTACTGCTTCCTGATGCTTCAATTTAGCATTCTTCATAGAACAACAGATGGTAATAAGAATGGAGAAGATTCTAGCATGTAAGTGTAAATTAATGGTCCATTTGAATTTTCTGTTTTTGAAAGTTGAGTTTATAAACATTACTTCCATCAATGTGTTTTTTTTTTTTGTTTCAAAGTCTGAACTAAATTTTAAAAACTTTAAAAAATAGTTCTTACAAATTTGTTTGTTGAAATTTATTTAATAAGTAATATATGTAATACGAATACCTTCAAAATCTCCCCTGCTTCTCTTTCCATAAGATCCAAGTTATGAGCTTCTTGTCGAACATCTTCCACCATCTTCTTTGCTTCTGTGGAGCATCTTAACCTATAATCTTGTGTTTCGTTTCTTAAAGAGTTCACTTGTGTTTCAATCTGGAAGATAAAAACCATTCACACGATAAGCAAATCATTCTCAATGAACTAGTTTTTCCTAGCAGCCAAGCAGAAGTCACAACCTTAATCATGCAAATAACAAGAGCATCGATAAATTAAAATGAAGTCTAATATAATCATTTGCAGCCAAGAAAGTTTCAAGTCACAAGCAATAGAAAGTTTTAATGTAGAAATTTCACTAGGAAGTAACTCAAAGAACTATACTAGCATAAAAAAAGTAAACATGCAGAAAAATAAAGCTACTAATACATCTTTTTCGAATCAAGTGTAAATATCTTTTAGCATGTGCTTACTTCATCAATATGGGATTGAAGGGAAGCTATATTCTTGCGTCTAGACTCCATTTTAGCAGTGTTTTCACTTGATTGCTGCCTGAGAGAAATCAAATCTTCCAACTTGGTCATGGAACTTTTCTTTATGTCATCTGCAAGGGAGTCAAGTGCAGGTTTAACAGTGGACTTATAGTCAATCCCCATCAACTCAGCTGGCGTCGACCCCTTTGCATTCAAGATATACTGACGACAATTATCAAGCTTCAATCTAAAAACAACAAAAAGAAAGTTGTATCAACAAAATAATTATGTTGAATCGGTCAGAAAAATTCCAATCAGTAGAAGAAACTTTGAATTCGGTAACAAAATATTTTCATTTGCAGAATCTCAAACAGGTAACTATGCTCATAAACATCATTTGAGATTGATAAATTCCAACAGACAAGGAATTCACAAAAATGACATCAGGGGAAGAATATAACTAACCCCGAATCAAAGAACTACTAAAATGAAGTACATTACATTTAGTAATAACTATAATTTGACAAAGGCAGTGCTGAACATGATACTAACTAGACGAAAGCATTAGAATGAAGTACAATTAAACAAATTTTGCAGCACCCATGGTTATCAACAGATTGCAAAGTATAAATTGAGCTAGGCAATATTTCCAGTATCTTTAACAAAGTTGGATGACTTCAACTCTTCCATCAATATGTAGAAAACCATGGGGCAATATTTACCATAGCTATCAGAAACTGTACTTTAAAAATGTGCTCAGAGGATTGGAAAACAATAACTAAATGATAACAATAAATAGAGAGAATGGAAAGAGGGGCAACCTCCTCATAGCTTGGTTACACTCCATTGCCATCGCCTCAAGCTCCTTAAACTTATGCCCCAAGGTTGCATCAAGATCCCATGTCTTTTCCTCCCACGCATTCCTCGAGACTTCGCCATCACCTATATCCCTCTCCACAGCCTGCAATTCTCTCCTCATCCTTTCCACATCTCTGGGATTAAACATCTGCGACTCCACCCTCATCTTCAGCTCCTCATTCTCTTCACAAATCCTCTTCTTCTCCTGCGCTTTAACTTCCAACTCCTTTTCCTTTTCTTCCAAAATCTTCTTCATTTCCTGCACCTTCTCACTGTACCCAGTAATCATCGTGTGGAACTTCTTCACATCCTCTTCAAGCACACTCTGCTGCTTCTCAAGAACCTCCCTCTGCGAGGGTTCCGTCCGCAACGCCTCAGCATTGGCTTCGAGCTCCTCAACTTGCTGCTTCAGTTCCCCCAAGCTTTCGACTGTATTATCCCTCTCTTTCTCCAACCGCTCCATAAACTTCTGATCTAAATCCTCCACTGAATCATCATCCCCGCGAATATAGTGCACATAGCTCTCAAGCGCATATACATTCACATGGTTAGCCGTTATAAACGAATGTGAATCATTTGCTAAGCTATTGTTATACACGGCAACCTGCACGAGCCAGTGAAGCAAGGCAAGAATTGAGTACCACTGATGAGGGGCAGGAGGTGTCTTGAGGATGCTCTTATTGATTTTGAAGGGATACCCTAGGGATTTAAGAACGATTGGGAGATCGTCCTCCAGTTTCGTCGGGGGATAATCGAGACATTGCAGAAGCAAATTGATAGTTTCGGTAAGATCTTTAAGGGAAGAGGGAGTCGAAGGTTTGAAGGTTACGTTGAAGGAATGAGAGAAGAGTTCCTTGAGAGACGAATTGATGGCGTTGACAGCGGAATGCTGAACGGCTCGCTCTTTGTAGATGTCGATGGAGGCGGCGGCGGAACGAGCCATTCCGATCGAAGAGGGGCGGCTACTGGCAAAGCTAGCATCGGAATCGCGGCGGAACTGGGGAGTGGGCGGCGGCGGAGGATTGAAAGATTCCTTTGGACGGCGGCGGCCGGCGCCTCTCATCTTTTGTCTATCGGCGGCGAAGGCTCTCTTCAGTCTCTCCGGCGGTTTCGAAATTTTTCAATCTGAGAGGAAGTGGAAATGGGGGGAATTTTGATCGGTGCCGCGCGTCACTGCGCCACGTCACTGATTGAAATTCCACTATTTTATTCTTTATTAGAATTTTAAACTAAATAAACTTTTTAAAATTCAACAAACATTTTTAAAATATTAATAATAATAATAATAAATATTTACAATTTATTGTTTGGAAAATCATTATCTCAACTCTAAACCATTCATCTTCACTACATAATACACATAATACGAGATTTTACTTTTATTTTCTCTTTTTTTAATTACAATATGTAGAGGTGGAGATCAAACTCGTAATCTCTTGATTAAAAACATATGTTATTTACTCGTTTTTGTCACTCATAACTTCCTCCTAATTTACTGTTCTTGAATAAAACTTATGTCAAATTAGGTGCACAATAATGGAAAGATCTCATTAATAAATAAAAAAAAGCTTAATTTTGATGTTCTAAAAGAGCATAATCGTACTTTTTGAATATCATACAGCTCTTGAATATGGCAATGCATTTGAAAACTTTGCATAACAAGAAAAGAGGGTAAGAACAGAAACTTGGTCCATGAGGAAATGAAACAAGTTGGGCTTCTTGGATGGGCAATTTCATCACAAAGCATGGAGGAGCTGCATTTTGGCCACTGCTAAATTTCAATAAGTTCAGCCATACTGAAACTTGGTTCAGAATCAGAGATACAGAAATATATTTTCGTTTACAAATCAGTATAGAATTCAACATTATCCAGTTCTTTACAATCAATCACAAAGGTAGTAAAATGTTGGCATTGTCATGTATCAGTACATTGGGAAAGGTTCTAACCTCATGGCTTGGAAAGAGCAGAGGAAATGATCACCAAGTAGAAACTTCTATGTGATAAACAATTTCATGGACGAAAGAGATGGCTGCTGCTGCTATAAACAAACAATTGTTACCTTGCACACTTTCTCATATTGTGTGCAGTTCTTGTAATTTTCCAGGTGTCTGGTACTGGAACCCGAAATCTTGAGATCCGGGTTTTATAACTCAACAGGAAAGATATTTACACTTGCTGATTCCTCCTGTTGGGAGTTCGGATGCAACAAGAATCTGTGAGGACACCCTTATAAAGAAATGGAGGATCAGAGCTTCACAAGCTGGCCACGCAGAAGGTTCAATCTTTTTATGGTTCTTTAAGTCACACGTCTTTTTTCTTCTTTATGCTTGTTGGAACACCATAACAAACCGGTGATGCTCCTATTAAGTAACGCAGATTGCAAGCTTCACGAGCTTCATACAAAAACGAACCGATCATTCGACTAGTAACAGGACGGCCTCTACTTGATGAGTCACTTTCACATGCTGCAGGTGGATTTTTACTTGCAACTTTCTTACTGATGCGTTTAGAACTTATATTTATGGTCTCAAACTCTTTTGTGAGGATATCACACCGTGGAGAACTTGGTAAGACACTCGACCTCTCTCTCAACCAAGCTTCAAGAACTGCCTTCCCGAAACGGTCAATGTCTTTGTCGGTCACTTCCCAAAGGTTGGCCACAATAACAGGAGACCCTGCCTTCAGATAAGATAAAGGAACCCCTTGTGGAACATAATAGCCATTTAATGTTAGGGAACCACTGCTGCATCCCATTAGGAGACTTGCAGCACAGACATCCAGTTTTTGAATTTCATGCCTTGGAATATATTGTGCCCCTGTAACCAACCCCACCACCAGTCCATGTTAACAAAAGTACAACAAAAAGCAGAAAACTGCGATACGTAATGAAAGTCTTACAAAAAATCAAGAGTTTACCACTCCCATGACCAAAGTATATGAAGAGGTCGCGGCTTTTCAGTTCCTCAATCAACTCTGCAGATGTAGGTGCATATCCAGCCTTCCCCTGTTATTCAGAAGAAACCATCTATGAAAAGGATCATGGTTCTGGACATAATTTCATAACATACACTAAGGTCCCTCTACTATCGTAAAGAAGAGATTACAGAAAACTTACCTCCAAATTTTGATCTTTAAACCAATTCTCAAATTCAATTTGTGTGTTGCGGAGATCACCACTAGGATTCAATAAATAAAATGAATCAAACGGATCAATTGAAGGAAAGGCAGGAATGATCCCACTGACTTGCTCTTGTTGACGGCATCTTCTATCAAGTGTTGCACAGATACTGCCAACAGAAGGCATGCGATAAACCTCCTGGTTTTGAAGTATAGGTATATTTTCCCATGGAAGCATCTGGAAAATTCATCAATCCATCTATTTATAAGTAGGAGAATGAGTATAACACCATTTAAAATAATAGTTTTGTCTTGAATTATACTCTAATAAATTGATTGAGTTTATTACCTCTACCATTCAATTCACTATAAAGAGATATAAGGAGATACAGCTCTTAGTCAAAAGTATTCTTTAAATTTAATGATACTAATAGAGCATGAAAATACCTGCACATCATAGTCCAATACAAAAATTATAGGCTCTCTACTAGAATTGTCTTCCCCTTCAAGCTCTTTTTTCGCGTCCTGTATTAATTTTAAGGCCAATGCAGAAAGTTGGTCTACTCCATTAAATGTGTTTTGAAAAGGATCAGACCTTTGTTTATCATGGAGTCCTACTTTACCAACAAAGCAACCTTTCCTTGAATTCAAGTTGGAACCAAATGCCTCTAGAACTTCCTCAGGACCTTCTAAAATAACTTTGAGAAGACTCTCATTGACGTCCATTTTGCATTTGGATCTCAAATCAAGCACCAATGTATTAAGTACAGAATCAGCGTGCTTTCTATTTGTCAATTCTCCCAAAAGCATATGTTTCCAAGGGCCCAACCATGAATCTTCAATTGTTCTGTTAAGAAAGCAAAATATGAGAAATGAGTCACTGCATCAGCGTTCAACATTGTGCATGATAATTCAATACTAGAAAATGAAAGTTGAATCCACCCAACATGACAATCGTTTGCATGGACAATAGTACTCATTTCATTAATATACAACTTTAGGAAAATGCATCAAGCGTACTAGCTACACTTGATTAGAGTTATATCGTTAGTCATGAAATCTAATAGGTTCTCCAATGATTTTACACAGCTTCAAAGCATTTACTATTGATCAATAAGTTTTATATGGACGTTCCAAAGAACTTATTTCAATGAAATGTATTGATACTTCATTGCAATTGGGTACTCAGGCTTTTGGTCAACCAAATAAAAAATGTTACTATACATATAAAGTTACTACCAACCAATTGGGATGTATCCCAAGAAGGAAAAGAAAAATATTTTCTTTATTTGAGTGAGAATTAATTGGAACAGGTAGTCTACACACATAGATGTATAGGTATTGAACCTCCAACGTTCAAATTTTATCCTCCAGCGTTCGGAATAGTCATTATGAAGTCACTGAATTCAACAAAGAGGCCATGTGCTTAAAATCTTCTAGAGACACAATCCTGGGATATTAATTATCATCTTACAAGATTCTCAAATTATAAAACTACTAAATTTACAGGATTAGATGTTACATCCGATGTTGAAGAAATTAATAGAGGTAAATCGATTTCTAGGTAGAAAGTTTCCTGTTGTAATGGTAAAATAATTGATTATTTTGGACCTCTATGCATTAAAATAGATTAAGTGAAGATTTAAAGAAAAAGACATAGAATTTTAACAATGAAGAAACAAGCTTTGAAGCATATGTTAAACTCATCAAATGAAAAAAATATAAATGACAAAAGTTATTGAATTAAAGTTGATAGATGTAACCTACCCCAATAATTTACCAAGACAATCATCAAGCTTTGTTCTCCGTTTCCACCATAACATCCTATTCGCTTTTGTATCCTCTGTAGGGAACACTGAGGATGATAAGTAATTTTCCTGTAATATAATTCTGAATGCTGGTGCAACTTCATCAATGACTGAGGAACCCCAGGGACATTTCCAATGTTTATTCAAATCATTTCTCTCATAGATATCATCTGATTGAGGATTTGAATAATCTTCTGAACCAGAAGTAATTAAGCACATTACAACTTATGCTACAAATATTACTATTAATATGCTATGAGATTGCAGCTGCAGTACCTTTTAAGATTGTCTCCACCGGCAGAAGTACAACAAGGGGCTGATACTTTGAATTTAAATATGACACCAGTATCCATCCATGAACAGATGAAGGATAATCAAGAGTTTGTTGTAGTAAACAAGCAAGATCTCCTCCAATCAAACTAATACAAACTATAGTCATGCAAGGAAGACCATCAAAGAACTTTCTTGCAAATTCTTCCAGATCTTGACTAGAAATAGGTCCCCTTCTACAACAAGAAAGCCAGCAAAACCCAACTTGGTTCAAAATTTGATCAAATGAGTCGTGAATGATACATTTCAAAACATTAATGCTATTTACCTAGACTTCAATGTTTGTTCTCCTGTATCAAAACCCTGAAAATAGATTTTGTTAAATACATTTATGAGCCTATACTTCAAATACAGCACAAAAGAATTAATAATCAAGAAGTAAAATGAAATAAAATAAATGAAGACAAAAATAAAATCCAAAATTTAACATATGCAACAATCCAGTTATGGGAAAAACTACAAAAAAAAAAAAAAGTGCAAGTTACAGCGTACCTTTGCAAAATTAAGGTCTTGTACACAAGAACTTCCAGTCCTATATGGGAAGTACTGGTAATTAAGATGAGTTCCAATCGAAGCTTGGTGAAAATATGAAGCCCAGTGACTGTCCGTTAATATTTGGTTGGAAGATGGCAAAGAAAATAGCTCTCTAGATGAAGAAATTACATGTACAGCAGCAAGCAACTTTGAAACCTATTCCGTAACAGAACGAATCAAAGTCAACCACCAAAAAATAACATAAATGTACAGAACAGGAGAAAAAGTTTCTTCCTTACAGAAGCATAAACAAAATGAAGAAAGGTTTGAGGAAAGAAGAATGTAATTTTTTTAACAAGATATCAACTTCTCATTGATTAATGAAAAGAACAAAAATGTTTAAATGATACAAACTCCCAAAGGGAGAGAAAAAAATAAAATATAGAAAAGGAAAAAGAGAATGTAATTGATTAGGCATGGTCCTAATTGTAGTTTTTCATCCATCAGGAAAGACCCGCATCATTCAACTTGAAACTGTTTCATTTATTTAGATGACAAGCACTAAATCTCGTAAAGACACTCCACAGGCAGTTGTCTAATATCTTAAGAGAAATTTAGAGTAAGTTAATAATGATACAACATGAAAAATCATAGACATAAATAATGATACTCATAGGGTATTGTAAATTAAGTAACAGGCTTATGAGCATAAAATTAACTGGTGAGGTGATGCATGATTACTAATTAAATATAGAACACATCTAAGAGAGGAAAAGGACAAAATATATTAATTAATCTCCAAGAGAAAAGAATATTAAACTTTTGAAAAGGATATAATAAAGTTGACCTTTTGAAGGAGTACAGGAACCTCACTGCAGAGTACAAGGGCAACCATCAGCCAAGAAGCCAATGTTTTAAACTGAACCTGAGACAAAGGACAGCAAATAATCCTGCCAAGAAGTAAACAGCAAAGGGAATTATGCCATAGCGACAGCCTACTGATATAAAGCTGATAATATTTCTATGCTTTAGAAAAAACTCCAAAATGCAGAAAACTAAAATTTTATATACGCAGCTAATATTTCTATCCTACAGATAATACTTATATCGATGTGTTCTCTAAGAAGTACGTCTAGTCCTCACTTCAAACCAAGAGTAAAATTTTGTTATCCTAACTGGGGAAACATTGTATGTATGCAAGATTTAAAATAACTTTGTTCTACAAACAGCCATTATTATCCAATATTGAAGGGAAACAAATTTTGGCTTACAGTATTAAATATCAACAACACAATGGTGACTTGTGAGTCACAATTTGAAGATAGCAATATCTATTCATACAAATGATAAGATAAGAGAGGAATACAACAGACATAACCGATTAAGTGGTATATATAGACCATTAAGCATGTTAGATTAACTATACATACTTGGAATCGTTGTATTTACAACTCTTCAAAGAGAACCAGCAAACATTATAGAGAACGGATGCCCTCTCAACTGCAAACATATCTCCATGGACTTCCTTCCCAACTAAATCAAGCAAAACTGTGGGTTCAACAGCATAGTGCGCTTGAAAGAATAGATTTCGGCTTACTACGATGGACATGCTTTTGAAAATAGTTTCATGTGTTTGATGAAATTGACCACGAATCCCCAAGCACTTACCTAAGAACAAACAACAGCAACTGTGATAATACAACTAATATTTAAAATAACTCCCCAAACCTAGTGAGTGAGGGAGAATGTTTGATACAAAATGTAGCTAAAAAGTAGCCATGTTGAACTAGGAGATCAGATAAGTCAAGTCTAAGCCAAAAGTAAAGTACAATGGGCCTTGACATATTTGCCCACACTTGGCAAGGCAAAATAGTTAATAGTTATTAGTTTAGCTTCTGCATCATAAAAGTTGACTATAAACATTTGTTTGATCTCATGGGTTATATCAGCAAGAAGTGTTTTCACGTATGCTAAGCATTAAACTACAGATTTTTATGATATCAAGTTTTGTTGATACCTAAGCCAGAAAGTTGCCTCAACAAAAGTCTTTTGCGAACAAACTCCCACTTGAGATATATAAAATTGTTCATTTGTCCTGCTTCCGTTATTTCCATTGGCAAGCATTGCCAACATCCAACTTTCCCATTTTTGCATGATGCTCCACATACGGAAGTAGGTGTGCAACTGTTTATTTGCAAGTGCAATTGCCTCTGGCCTGAAGCACTAGAACGATCAGGAACGTTGCTTTTCAAATGCACAGAAAGGTCAACTTCTACATCATTAGAATTGCTTGTGCTTTGGCTTTGAATCGACCGACATCTAGAGCGAGTCAACCTCACATTACTCTGAGGATTTATGCACTGATCCATTTGGAAAGACCTAGAAGTATTTATAGCCTTTTTACACTTTTTACCATCCCTTTTGGCCTTTGGCCTTTCCGCTTGAGTTGTCAAAGATGAAAGATATCGGTCTTCATCTGGACAACTAATAGAATCTTTCCATACTGAAAGATTCAGTTTCTCAAGAGCTAACTTATACAACTTTTCTGCATTTATCAATCGCTCTTCAGATATATTCCCATTAGCATTTACATACATACTACGAAACAAATCCCCAAGATGTTGATCAACTATTACTTCAAGTACCAATCTGCACTTCAAACAAGATGTAATGCTATCCGTTAATATCTGTTTGGCTCCTTCAAGTTCCTTTTGTGCCAAACTCCATAACTGTTTCTTTCTGTACACTTTTCCTGCCAGAAGAGTACACAACAATGACCTATTATACAGTTCTTTCCAAAAAGTATACATTCAACAATCAACATCCGCACGAAAATGAAATCAAACAAGCAATTCATATTACGTACCTAAAGCAGAAGAGAAAGCAACTTCAAACAGTGGCAAGCTTTGCAAGCAGGAGATACTTTTTCCCCACTGCAAAAGAGTTTCAGCCTCAGAACCGTTTCCAATGTACTCATGAACAAGACCAACCTGGATATTATAAAAGTAATGGCATACCCATACAAAATATGTTAGTAAGTCAAAAGATTATGTAACTCCAGTTTTAACATAAACGAGAATAGGTACCTGAAGAGTGCTTTCAAGATAACACTGAAGTACATTGAAAGGACTAAGATAGCAGCTTTCTACATCCCATGATATTCTGTCAAATGACCATACATTGCGAGCAACTGATCCATTTTTCCGAAGATTCTTAATGCCATATGCGGGCTTCTGACTAACGTGTGCAATTTCACAATATTTTTCAGGATGCTGCTCAACAGAGTACATAAACATCTCTTGAAATAGTTTAGAACGTAGTTGATGAGCTTCTTTTGCGCATGAGAGAGCCTAATATGTACAATACATATAATTAGAAAATAGATAGCCAGTATCGATGGATAGACAAGTTGCACAATAAAGGCATGAAACGTTTACCAGGAAAATGGCTATAATAACCCCCTGGGGGAAGAAGGATAGTAAAGTCTCATAAGATCAATTTCACATCTTGCAACCTTTTATATTCTTAAAATCATTAAACACTACGTGGATGTTAGTACATAATACTTATATTCACATCAAAAACGGGAATTCTAAAAGCTAGTTGTGTGTGAAGCAGGCAATGAAACTCAAGACTATCTTTTATCAGCTGCTCTTTGGCCTCTCAGTTTTGGCATATTTCACTGGCCTATTTCAAATGGTCCATTTCATTTCCTAATAGCCGATGGTCTCAGTCTTCTTTGCCTATGAGAGCATTCTTTTAAAGATAAAACTTTGTGGCTCGAGTTCATTAGGGCTTTTTTAATGGAGTTTTGGTTAGACTTTATAGAGGAATTAAAAAAAAATGTTGTTTGTGCGACCACTTTGCTCTTGTGGTTTTATCTTGGAACAAAATTTCTAAGCTTTTTTGTAACTATGACCTCTGCACTTTGTTGTGCTAATTGGAAAATTGTAGCAACTTCCTTGGCATAGGTTGAGGGTTTACTCCCCTTTTTGAATTCTTATCCAAAAAAAAAAATGTTAGTATTCACACAACTCTATATCAAACATAGCATAAGAGTGGCACGGAATTGAAGATTGGGAAGGAATTAACAGAAATTATCAGTAGGATGGCAGAATCTATGATTTATGCTTATTCTTAAATCAAACATAACAACTAGCCGCTATAATTGCCTTTTTTTTTCTTTTTGCAATATTTCTAACTACTAGCTGGCTCTATACATTATATTCTTCTCATGAGCATCTTAGTTCCACGCTTGCACCTGCATTCAATTTCCTGGCAAATAGTCCATGGAAATTTTGAAAAGGAGAAAATTGCTCTGCGTATTGTTCAAACCTCATTTTAATCTAACAGTTCAATCCAGTAAATTGGATATAATTTTCCTCATCTTAACCAAACTTACAATATTTCATTCATGTTACAGAACAGATAAAGTTTCACCCATGCAGAAAGAGAGTTCAAAAGTTCAAATGTAAAGTTTTTAAAGTGTGAAAGGATCATATGCCTCATTCCATGTAACTTTTTCTAACCACAGCAGATTAGATGGACGTACCTCAGTAAGACAGCCTTCTGAAATAAGCCTTTCACATAAATCATAGTAAAGATATCCAGCAAAGAAAATAGAACTCTTGGATGCAGGAATCTGCAAGATAAGTAACATAAGCAAATGAGTGGATCGAACACAGCAATGACAGTCTAAAACTTTTATGGAGGTTAGGGCGAGAGAATTACATGAGATATGAGTTTCGAAGCAGCTTCTTTAGCCTCATCAACCGTCACATATAATTGAATTGACTTTTCATGTTCACAAGAACTCTGGGTATAATTTGAGCATAAAAATGAGAAATTCTGCTGGAATCCGACAAGCATTACTGGCAATGTCTTCAGACAGTTTGTCCAAAAATCAAAACTCTTGGGGAGCTCACCAAGATGCTCAGATAGCTGTGCTATAAACATCTCATTTACTGGTGCAGTGCACATTGCGTGGCCCATTCTTCTACTTTCCCATAGAATGGCCAACAGCTTCTCCAATTGTACGTTTTTCCATTTGAATAATCTAATCATGAGACTATATATATTGTGGTGGTAATCCATGCAACCCTGAAGGCAAAACCAAGTAATAAAAAAATTAACCTGAACATCTTAATGTTACCCATTTGGTAAAAAACTTTAAAATAATAAAAATCCAACAAAGAGACAAACCTTGATTGATAACAAATCAAAAGTATTGCACAATAGCAGCAACATATATTCAGAAAGTATCGGGCGCTGATCATCTGGCAAGGAATCCAGACTTAAGATTTCCAACCACATGCTCAATGCAGAATCAATATCTTGCAAGACTTGCTGCTTTATTATCATCCGAAAACCATTTAACAAGTACAAAATAAAAGATCAGAAAGAGGCAAAGACTAGAAAGAGAGAGAGAGACAGAAACAATTCACACATCAAGAAATAAACAGGAACTTGTAAAGATACCAAGTGCTAATTACTCAATAAAGAAGACTAGACTTGTTTAACACCTTTGAATTTGGTACAGCCTCATGAGTACAGAGTGCACGTAAGCAATATGCCACAGCTAACTGATGACAATGAAGAACTCCAGAGCTGCAAGTTCCACTAGAAGTTTCATTCTGTTTCAATCACTGCAATACGTTAATTGTATAATGTACATCCAACTCGAAAACAAGTAAACAGTTCTGTGAAAGTTCAAATTTATAGCATACATGAAGCATCTCAACAACAACAAGCTTACCATGGTAGATATTGCATCTGACAAACACTGGATAGAATCCTCTAAACATACAGTTTCACAAAACCTCAATGCCCTTGCCTTTTTAATTAACACTCTAGCTCTTTCTAGCATATGATCTGGTGTGATATATACATCCCTTAGAAGAGTACTCAAGATCTTCATTTGTAATGGTTGACAAAATGCTGGATACAGAACACTCATTTCCTCGTATTCAACAAGTTCCTGTGTAATATTTAAGTAATACACACTACTAAACAATTTAATAGAGGAAGAAATTATGGAAAACCCATTTTAAGTGATCAAATGACACAGAAGCAAACCTGCTCCAAGAGAGCACCAATCTTTGCCTTTGACATCATCCCAGAAGGTGGCAGTAAACAATTCAAGGTTGGTGTGGTTGTTTTGGGATCTGCATTCTTATGATGCTTGCATTGCATCTGGGAAAATTATTAAAATCAGTACCGAAGGAAAATATGTAGTGATCTAATCAATTGAATGACTGTAGATGTTACCTTAACCCATTGTTTCACCAATTGCACAGGAATCGGTAGCTCATTAAATAGTTTTGCAGCAATAGACCAATTCTCAAGAATCTTGGCCATTGTTTTTTCTATCTTATAAATGTCGCACTGATAGAGAATATCAACTAGGAAAGCACTTCTCATAATCATTTCATTAACAAAACTTAGAACAGCATCTTCAGAAAATTCATTATCTGATGGCCTGGACTTGTCGTCAAACTTCTCACAGAAATGTATAACACAGGTCCATGATGCTCTACAACACAACTTCAATGCCTTTGAAGCCTGTACAAATAGAGAAATAATGGACAAGGTAAATACTAAATATAAGTGTGTCAAATTCTTTCCTATTTTATTTTATTTCCCACGGGAATCTTGCCCACATTGAGACTTGAGTAAAAGAAAAATGTAGAAACTACACCTACACGTAAATATGATGATAACTTTTACAGGATAAATTTCACTTCTTGAATGAAAATAACATTTTATAGGAGCTAACCGAAGTTGGATGAAACTATTTTGAGGGCTTCCAATAAAAATGTGTCAAGATTTTGAGGTAATAAAAAGCATTGATATCCGAAGGCATGCCATAAAATGTAACAGTAACTTGCCTAACATGATTAATTTTATATGACATTATTTTAGAATGCAAATTTAAGTATATGCATCGGTGACATGGCTACATCAATGAACTTGCATCAATACATGTCAATAATGCAGAGCAAATTGACGTCAAAGACGAATGGAAAATATTATCAATTACATGTTAAAAGGTCATAAAAAACATCTAAAAATTACTAGATTTATTGTTTGCACTGTAAGAGTCCATATTAGATTTGTTCATGTTATTATTAAATTATAATAAATCTTACATTTACAGACGTATTTTCAGCTTATTTACGTATTTTTATTTATGTTCAAGTCAATAGTAACAACTAATTTCCAATGCCACCGATCTTTTCATTTCACAGAGAAAAAAGATTGCAAACTTGATAACTTAATACTTTTTCTTAGAGGAAACAATCCAACATTTGAACCAGGGGCCTCATATTTGATGCAAAAGCACATTTAAAAAATTATATCACCTATGGAAAAACATACCTCTTTTATTTGCTTATGTCTGTACAAAATTATGCCAATGTTGTTAAGAGAAGCAAATAAATGTTTCAAGGCAAGAGGTTGAACCCATTTGCTTGTGATAATTTCCTTGATCAAATACGTGCTCCTCTGTGAATAAGAAAAGAAAAACCAATTAGGTAACTTGCAACCATTTCAAACAAGTTAACGTATCCCAGAACTTTTGACAACCTTCATGTTCAGTTTTGTTCTAAAAGACAGGGTAAAAGCAGCCACAACAATGCTTAATAGCATATTTACATTCTCATCACATCCGTTTCTCTCAGCATCATATGCACGCCTGAAACAAGAAAGAGAAGGGGGATCTAAAAAAATCTAATACAGAATAACATTACTTGAGAAAAGAATTCAGGTAAAACTCTATCCTTATCAACAAACAAAATATTCAATAGTTCAAAAACCAAGGTTACAGAACTTTAATTGACATATAAATCTAGAAAGACACAAAAGGCTAATTAATGCAGATCAATTTTTCTCTTTAAATAACCATGGGTATTTGAGTCAACTTATAAGCACCTCAACAAATTGCGAGAATCAACTATTTAACCTACAACATTTAGCATCTAGACAGTTATAGAAACTTATAGGAACTTTCATGTCTTAGATAAGAGGTCATCATTGTTTGATTCATGACTACAAAGACATCTACAACTTGCCCCTCTAACCAATGGTGATTAAGAAGATTTCTATTGATGTAATTTTTTTTTTTTAAGTACAACATCTATTGATGTAATTATGTTATGACAAAAACTTAGATCAAAGCAAGTTTTAGACGCCCCCTACCCAAAAGCATAGAGCTCTACATATGTAACATAGAAAATTTGAAAAAGCAATCAATCAATAAGCAATGCAAATGGAATTGTTATTTTTTTTTTTTTTGGACAAGCACAACAAATCTCATAGATAAAATTATAAATGAGACACTTTCAAATATAAAAATAACTTGCCTTTGACAAAAAAGAAAGACATCACAGTACTGATGCAAAGTATTCTGAATATTATACAAAACAGAAGCAGCTTCATCTTCAGCAAGAATTTTTTTCCTCTCGGAATTTACTAATTCAGCAAGCGGCTGGCACAAGAACTTGATAGCATCCAAGTAAGAAGGCAAATAAGTTTCTCTCCTTCTCGATAGAGAAGTGACCTCAAACTCATGATTAGAGTTCCAATGTGAACATGGTTGGACAAAATCTTTTTGCTTAATGCTGCAGGACTCATTACCTTCTCTGCAGCCGATACGAAAGTAACTTCCCAGGTAACCATTTAAGTTAGCCAAACCCTGCATACTTTCTCCATCATCAACCAAAATACTAAATGCAGAGTCATGAGTCTCACCTCTGGGTAATTTAGAAAAGATTTTCAGCCCAGCAGCGTAAAGCCTCAAAATCATTCCCAATGGTGTTGTTGCCTGTCCAACGAGGTTAATATTAGATAACATGGCAGATATAAATGACATGTGAGGAGGTACATAAACTAAAAGCTGGAAAAACAATACCTGATGGATATCACCTGCCATATCCTCAAGATGTTTGGCAAAGGCACAACAACAATCGGGACTTGCACTCTGGCATTTATTTGCAGAATAAAAGATGAGTTGAAGAAACTCAACACCTGTACATCCAATTTCCTCCTGGAAAACAATTTGTTAAAAATTTGGTGCTTAGTATTAAAATGTTACAGAAATTTTGCAAGAACTTATCTTGACAGTTGGATGAACAAATAAAGAATGCTCATACTCTAAATGTATTAACTAACATGTTTGAAACAAGTAATTCAGAGACAACAAAAGACTAGCTGCTCGGCTAACTTTCTCTCAAGATGACTTTACAAAACAGAACCTTTGGTTTAAGGAAGCAGCAATTCCCTTTAACATTAGATAAAATTATGTAGCACTATAACAAGAGTAGTATATAAAGCAAAAATATAAATAAAAGAAAGTAAGCCTTAATTTAATTAACCACTGATCACTAAGTTATCCTCATTTTATGAATCCACACAAGCATTTGTTCAAGATAATCTAACATAAATGAAAACTTCCCTTAGCAGGATTGGTATTGGACAATTCTTTAAGTAAAACATTTCCAGTAACACTACCTTCAATTCTAGGGTAATAGACTTTAAGACACATATGAGCATAGATGAATCCTCTTTCAGATGTTGAGAGAAAAGAGTGGAACATATCCGACGGGCTACCTGCACGGAAAAATATGAATAAAAAATAATGTTAATAATTAGTGTAGATTCCACAAAGAAATAACAAAAGATTGATGATATATCACCTTGTAAATCTGATCTCTCAAAGATGACTTGGCATATTCAGCCAAGGTTGTGCGGCAGAAGAGACTTGTGAGACTCCCACCAAAACAAGCTAGCTCCTCTACCAAGAAAATAGTACATTTATTTAGATATGTAACCAATGCTCTATGAGTCTTCTCGGATACTTTATCATCTAGTAACCTGCCAGGATGAATGTGCACAACAGTTATATACTCGTAATAAACAAATTAAGAGTTGGGAGCAGACTCCTTTTTCGTGGTAAAGACGTACTGCTCGTTAATTAAACAATTTATAGGTACTCTAATCTAGTTATAAGCCACCCAGAATAGCAACTGCAGTGTGAAAGGTGAAAAAATAGATCAAGTTGGTCCAACTCTTCAGTTTCTGAACCACATCAGCTTTTTGCCTAACTTGAATCTGATTTCAATGTCTAAAAAGTAACGGTCTAAACTCTATTGATGCTCAAATAGTGAAGTTCTCACCTGAACCATGGTTTGACCTCCTCCACCAAACCAAGAACCCTGCTATAGTCGCCACTGTCCTTGCTACGACCACTAGCTGTACACTTAACAATCGTTACAACAACCTCCACCAACAACAAACCAAAATCCTTATCACCACCGCCTTTATCCACATCAGGAAAAATCTGACAGTCCAATTTTCCCGCCTTGGATCTAAGGACAATTTCCCGAAGGCTCTCTAAAATCCGAAATCCCTCCACCTCCGCGTCCTTGTAAAGTCCCCAATCCTCCATGCAATGCACCATCCGAACCCTCTGCACATCAACAGTGTAGGGTTTACACGAAAGCTGCGACATCAAAGATTCCAAGCAACCCAAGCAGAGCTTGTACATTTGGAAGAATTCTAGGGCCAAGTCGAGATCATTGCCCAGTTTTGGAGGCTGGGTGAGTCGCTTGGGGAGAATAGATAGAGCACGATTGAGAAAAGTGAGAAACCTCTTCGCCAGCGAACGGATTGCCGAAGAGTCGTCGCTGGGCTTGGCTGACCTCTTGCCTTTCTTGGGATTTTTAGCATCGGAGAAAGGCTGGAGGAAGTCGGAGACGAGAGAAGAAATGCCCTTGGAATCTGCCGTTTCGAGCATAGAAATGAGAGTGGATTCGGAGGGCGACGCCATTGCCGTGGAAATGAAGCTACTCGGAGAAGATCAGTAGAAAGGAAGCGACTGTGTTTCTTAGGGCGCCAAAGGAGGAGCCCGCTAATTTCATTGTTTTTGAACTTCGGACGCCATTTTTTATTTTTTATTTTTCTTTTTTCTTTCGCACAAAAGTAGTATTATTTTAAAATAAAAAAATATGTTACCCAATCAGCATAACTTGATTTTTTTTCTCTTTCTTTGTAATAGCATAATTTAATTTTTGAATTTAGACCCATATATATATATAATTTATCGCCAATATCAACTATCTCAGTAGTTCAAATACTTCTTATTTCGTAGGTTCAATCTCTAGCTAGACGCAAAGGTGTACAATCCGGTCAAAATCTGGGGTTCTTGTTGTTCATTCACTGATTGTTCTCTTACTTGCTCTAGTGGCTAGCAAATGCCAACCGAGAGGGGAGAACGAATGGCTCAGGAATCGACTGGTTCCGAGCGGACTCATGGAGCTGCTGCTTGGATTATCGTAGAATAAGAGGATTTTTCTTTCTTAGCTTAGGAAATGACTTAACTT